GTTTTTATTTTAGGCACAGAGCAACAGAAAAGAGTTTTTTTTAAACTAGACCAAGTTCATTATGCATGTATTATTACTCAGGTACTTTTAATATGCAAGTATACATACAAATCAAATATTCAGTACCTATAATGATGTTCATCAGCTCAGACAATTTCAGGTTCGAGAATCTGTGTCAAAACTCATGGAACAAATGCTCACTGGATCCATATCAAAATATCACTTTAACATAGAACATTCTATTTACTCAGGGAGTTGTTGACTTTTAAAGCATCATTCCAATGACTTTTCATACCAATTTTGCATAGATCAGTTTTTCCAAGGAGGGGTCCTGCCATCCAAGGTCACTTTTAGTAAATTCACTGTTATCTTAGGACTTTCAGTCAGGCGGGATATTCTTGATGTTATGTATTATTTTAGCCTCTAAAATTTACACAGCTTTCATTCATCGTTGAAATATATGTGGCCGGGATAGAAATTCAGGACATATAAGAAAATAAGATTATCAGTAAGTTGTCTAATGATTGTCAACAATGATTAAAAGTACCTGATGTTATTAATTTTTTAACCAATGAAAATTTATTTGCCATTTGAAAGACACTAGTACCGAGAATACTACGTCTTACTAAAAGTCCAAGGATGGCAGAGAATAATTGTACTGCTAGGTTAAGTATGTACATTTAATAATTCTGCAATGTCCATGGGAACAAACACACTCACCACTAGATCCGCCATGAAAATTTCAATCAAAAAGCATCCTATAGAAATTATACTATGGAAATGAGAAAAAAAATATAAGTGCTGACAAAAATTATTGTGTAAGGGTGATTTTGACAGCTCGGTCAGAGTACATAAAACAACTATTTTTTTTATTGTTTGACTTACTTAACCCTTTTAATTATGAACTCTTTCATATATTTATAAAACCTTATTGATTTTAAAAATACAGAAATTACTTCACATTTTACCAATTAAATGACATAGCTTTAGTAATGATGCTCTCATTGCAATTCTAGTCACCAACTATGGAGCTTGAATTTATTAAACGAATTTGAGTTATGTACGGAAAACCTCGATCATTCAGTGCTAGAGTGTCTCTAGCTTAAGAAGGGGATCGCTGCCTTCCAAGGATATGATCGCCTGTAAGCACGGTGTTTTAAACAAACAAACATTACAAAGTGGAAACACTGAACATATTCATCTCCGCGTACATTAATTTGATCTATTTTATATGGTATATGAATAAAAACATGATAAACAACGTTGAACCTTACTTGGACAGGTCCGAGCATTTCCTGAGATCAGAAACCAGACGTTAAAAAGATGTGGCAAACAAACCACTTATTTGTATCTATGAATAGCGAGAAATGTATTACATAGACACAAAAAGTAGTAAAACGTGCCAATTTTTAATCAACTAAATCGCATCCAAACTACCCATGTTGAAACTGAAAGTATTTTCTTCTTTCACTTCCGTCACAACGTCACACATGCGCATTAACGGTTTATAGAATATTCCGAAGATTGAACCCGATTACTATTAGGCTTGTGAATCGTGAAAACGAATTTTTGGCCGTCTATGCATTAAATATTCAACTTATGATTTAAACCATACTTATTGTTGTTCTATTATCGATAGTTTCAAATATTTAAAGCGATTTTTACACCCAAATCCTAAAAGTATAGATGTTAAAAAGATTTTTTCAAATTATCATTTTTTCAGCAAATTTGGTTTAAAATTGTGAAATTTTCTTGTTTGATGCCCGCTGCCCCACTTAATTTTTATGCCATATAAGGGAGAGAACATTGGAAAATAACGTGTTAATTTTAAAAAGAAATCTGTAGTCAGAATATCAAGCAGCAATTTATTTTTACTAGTAATGAACTTTTTAATTTTGAGCTAAATATGTTTAATTCGCCCTAGAAAGTAATATTAGGTGGATCAGCAGATTAAAAAAATAATTAAACATTTAAACAAGCATATTTTCTCTATGATTCATATGTTAAAAAAAATCTTTTGCTTTTAATTTTAGAAAGCTAGAATAAATATCTTAATTTCCGCACTTCCGTCATTTCACGAGACAATGTCTATTTTTAGTAACAATCCTTTCAAAAGGAGGCCCGGTTGACCCCAAAATTTACACTGATCTGGAAAGGACAAATACTCAGTTAAGATTCTGAAAAGTTTCAACAAAATCTGTAGTTCCGTTATTTCTATAGGATGGTATGGATCTTTACCTTAAGTTGAATTTAAATTTACAGGTTACTGTGGTGTTAAATAGGGATTTGTTTAATCTATAATACTGATTTTACTGAAATGAAATTAGCTAGAGGGATTTGCTGCAGAACTACCTACCAGAATTCCAAGACGCGCAAGCGCATTTGAAGTTCTTCGTATCATAACTAGTCAGCCCACGGGCTGACTAAAAAAGCAAGGCGTAGATCTGAGAATTTTCAAAATTTACAAACCTAAATGTTCTTGCACACCTTGAAAAAAATCATAGCATTATAAACATAACTACAATTATTATTCTAATAATTGTTGTTAACATAATTCTTTTAATAGAAATCCTTACACTTTTGTTTAGTACATTCCGCTATCGATCAAAATATTGTCCTATTTACATTGTGCTAACTTTCCATTAAAATATACTGAAAGGAAAAAGAAACGCATAATAATCTTTAGAATAAAAGTAAAACTTTTATTTCCAATATGTTTTCCAGTATTGTTACCAAACAATTTAATCCAACTTTAAACAACAAGTAACCGAAATCTTGTGTGACTTTCACTTATAATTCCTGAGTTATTGAAATTGATATGTCGATACCCCCCCCCCCCCCCCAAAAAAAAAAAAAAAAAAAAAAAACTTAAAATAAAAATTCTCATCATCTCCCTTGCGCATCGGTAACAGCCTTGATTTTCTTGTGCATTGAGTTCATCAGAGCATTTATCTTTCTCATAGAATTATAATTCAAGCCTTCCGACGATAGACTTAATGGTTGAGAGTAGCTCTGTTATTCCAAAGCCAACAAATCCCCCCGCCAAATGAATCCCACGAATTTTCGATTAAGGATAGAATTTACAGAATCTAGCTGATTTGGTACTCGTGAATGTTTGTAAAGAAGTCTCGACAAACACTGGCTACATTTTCGCAGCGTGAACATGCTAAAAACATTACGCATACTGCGCGTACGTGCGCGTTTGAGAGTAATATCGACGTAAAGTTGCCAAGCTTGCGTACCAAATTAGAGCAGAGAGTTTCTGTCAGTATTAGTGTGAAAATAGGAGTCTGACTGCCTGCTATAAAAATATCGGTGTCAGTGATAATGACTTGACAATAACCGAGGTAGCTTGATGAAAAGCCTTATCTTGATGTGACGTAGTAACGCGCTAACGTTACCGTCATGGTGGGTTGGAAACCTTTTTAGTTACTCTCTGACAACCGAAAAAACTGTTTTGGTTGAAAATTTAAAAACAAACTGCAGTGCAACATGTTGTTGCCTTTTTATTCACTTATGAAACTCAATTACTAGACCCTGTGTAACTTTTGCCAGCCATACCATAATTCCAAGAAATTTAAACTGACTGCAAATATCGGAAAACGATGTCTGTAACTCTGATGCATCGTTTGGCACTACGAAATGGGATCACAAAAATGTCATCATCAACATGCACGTGTATTTGGCTTTTTATCACTTCCCATAAGTGACGCCATACATTTCATGGTTTAGTAATTTTGACCAGCGATTTTAGTGCACAGTAAACAAATTACACATCTGATCAATATTCATAATTTTTGGCCTCATAGTTAAATATTTTTCGCTATAATGCTATTATGCGTCTCTTTTTCCTTTCAGTATATTTATTATGCCGATTCAGTGATATGCATAGATAAAAATATGTACTTTTTTTTACTTAAACTTGTATTAAACTTCTTTTTTTTTATTTTTTGCATTTAAGATCTTGAAAAATAAATGCGAGAAGTTGTCTAGAAGTAAACATAGATATTTATTTCAACAAATAGCAAACAATGATGACATTCATTTAAGAAAACATATACTTTTACAATATTAATGAATACGGATTCACAAGTAATATATAGGATGCCTTTTAACGAGTGTATCTTCCGATATCAGACAAGGGGGCTTGTCTCCCGAGTCAGATATCTGAAGATGCACAAATTAAAAGGTACTCTATATTTTTTGTTTCATTGTTCCCAGGAAATAAGTTACCCATGTTCTGTCAATTTTACGTTAATAGCACCTAGTTTGACTGCACTCTCACGTACCGAGTTTCCCATGATCTATCAAAATTTCATCAGACAATAGTTTTCTGACCGATGAAAAGGGAGTGCGTAATTCGGAAAGTATATAGCGGGCTGCATTTCTTTGGATTTGGATTACCTCGCCATTCAAGTCTGAACGCCATGAATGACGGTTGTCGGTTGTGATTTTATGCTTTTTCAATTCTTGATGGAATTATAAAGTAATATTCTTTGTGTCACTGTAAAATCTTTAAACTCTTAAGAATACTAACTGGGCAATAGTTACGTTCAAGGAATACCGCACGGGAAAATGGACACTTTTGACCGAGATGTACGGCATCTTCAAATAATTGGATGCGTCGATTTGTTTTGGAATTAATAAAACAAGACGGCGACGGAATATAGAATTATTTCCTGGTGTATATAGTTCATTATGTGTGTTTTGTTGTTATTCAAGATTATAAAATGAGAGTCAAAAACATTAATTTTTAAACCCGCTGTCTGAATCTCATTTGGGATTTAAAAATCGACGTGCAAACATTTTTTTATTATTATTTTAAGGAAGATAATTACTGCACTATGTTTACATGACTTTGTATTTAATTCGGTGTAAGGTCACGGGTCATTTATTAGAACTGTTTCATCATCACCCTGAGTGTTATATCTTGATGGATCACGGTAGTTAGATCACAGTTAGACATGATATATCAGAAATAAAAAAAAACACAGCGATCTTCAAAAGAAAAACACCTCAACAATTATGATATGATTGCAGTACCGAAATATGCAACAAGGGTCAAGGTTACATGTTTTTAACCCGTAATAATTGATTATCGTTCTGAGCTTCTGTTTTTACTTTCGCTTTGTAAGAGAAATAATACTCTAATGAAAATAAAAAAAAAAACTCATGAATGTTTTTTTTCGAATTGTAATTGTTTTAGGTGGTCGTTGAGTCTGAAAAGTGTTTTCCATAGAGATACATGTAAGAAAATTAGGTATACTCGCTTCACAGCCTTGACGTCAAAATCCATTTTGTCTTCGTTACAAGATTTCTCTTCATCAAGTATAAAAAATACGCAGATACATATTTCTGATCATAATGTACACGAACAAAGTTGTACAAAATGAAGTGAAAATGTGAGTGAAAAATTGTATAGTACTAAAACTGAATTATTTTCACTCTTGCTATGGGTATACAGTGAGGTTGAACTTCACAGTTACATATTTTCAATATATGATTTCGTGACTGCACCTTGTACCTACCTTTGACACATTAATATACCATTGGAAAGAAGCTTTCAATAATTGTTAGTAGTTGTCAAACGAAAGACGTTCATTAAAAAATATACATACTGAAAGAAAGAAAGAATACATACTATCTCAATAATTTCTGATCGGCCCTTGCACAGATACAAAATTATACACGCTTCCAAGCAACATGAATACAATTCATAATTTAATAAATTAATGAATATGAAAATATGTTTTTCAATTTCTTATTACCTGCAGTACTACATACCGATATACATTATATGTTAAATAAATCACCATTAAAAATCTCTATTCTGATCAAAATACTTTTCTTTCAAATCTCAAAACTTTTACGTCTGTAAGATTTTTCCCCCTGTAATATAATTATCATGTGCATTTAAAAAATAAAGTTTTCTCATATAAGTTTTTTGCCCCGATCCATATCAATGATAAGAGATTGCTCAATTAAAAATAAAAGGATCTCTTCAAAATATGTTGAATAAAATTAAATAAAACATAAAAAAAAATGGGCCCCTGGCCTTGGTTCAATGAAGCGGTTCCAAATCGTTCATCCAAGTGACTATTTACATTTTATTTATTCTCTTTGTCATAGAGAACATTTGTTGTTGAAATTTGGACAGGTTCGTCGTTTCTTGCTTGTTTGTAACAAATATCTGTAAATAAACGACTTCATCAGTTAAAGGTAGTAACAAACTATATGAAATATTTGAAAGAAAATCGAAAGAATATAACTTGAATATCACAACATGTACATAATATCATCTGTTATTGTAACGGTGGATTTTGCGCATATTAAAAGAACGCGAAACGCGCACCATACTTTATATACCGACAGTCTATTTATAGAGTTTATATTATTAAAAACTTTGTAAAAATTCTATTTCAATATCAAATTAGTTGTATTCTATTTTTATTAATTTTCAGTGCAGTGATTTGAATTTATAAAATGATTATTTATGTCTCTCACTATTTCCTAGATACAAACAGCTAATCGCAGCTTTTTTTGCTCAGAATTCTATATCAAATACGACAGGACAAATATCCGTGAGAATGAAAATGTCAATTCTTCAATAGTAAATGACGAAAAATTAAGTTTTACAATCAAGGGGGGAAATCAGCAAAAAACAAAAACATTTTGCACGCACATATAAATATATACATTTTACAAGATATGAACATATACGTTCTGATTTTCCCCATAGAAAATGGGTCACAAAGAAAACTTTAGTTCTGACTAGATACAACATAAACTTTATAAAAAAAAATTACATATGGCTTATAAAAAGCAAAAGATGATTTTATAGACTGGCTTGCCTGTCTGATATTCGATATACAGACAGGTGACCAGTAGTGTAAAGATCCTTCTACCTTCTTCGCTCATTGGTTGATAAAAAATCACGCTGACGTAGAAATTTAATGTGTCGGGGAAACCAAAACAGATCACTGAGTTCAGAGACACTGGCCGCTATCATGGTTATATCGTTACCTTTAACAATTATATTTTTGGAAAATTTCTGGGCCTACATGGACATATATTCGGTTTTTAATATGCTTAATACTTTTTAAAAGTTCTCTACATTTGTTTTTTATGCAATCAATATTTATTAACATTTCAACAGGGTCTTATATATCATATATTTTATGTTCTAATTCGTTTCCACTTAAACGAACATATTCATAAAAAATGAATAACAACGCGTATGTGATAGATACTGATGCGCTCTCGTAAGTGCAGTTTAATATTATATACAAGATGTACACAATCTAATTAAAATCAGACTTCTTAGATCCACAGAGATTACAATGAAGCACATTGAAGTGGTAAAATTTTCCGTTTGGATTGAACATTTTGAGCTATCTTTAGACAAGCCAATTTCTTTAGAAGAGAAAAAATCGGTCAAATGATTCAATCGAATACCTGTAGAACAGGTATTCCATAAATATTTCAGCCAATGAAATTGGCGGCCTACATAAACACTGTTCGACTGATACATATGCTATGCTACCTCCAATAACCATGATAAAATAATAATTATGTAAAATTTGTTGCAATGGCTGTTTTACATAAGCGGGGAATTTATATATAGTTATAGCTCTTTCTTATTTAAAAAGTTTCATTTCAGTGTAACTCATGTTGCTTGTTGGGAAAAATAGGGTGTCCTAAAACATTACGACGAACACTTCTTTCTCGTTTCTAAAGAAAAATGAGCGTGTCGTTGTTCAAAACATGACTCAGAAGGTTTCATCAAAATAGAGAATTTTACCACTCCAATGCGCTTCATTGTATATTTAAATTAGATTAAAAAATTTACATTTCCAACTTTCCTTCTTGCGAACTCAATCAAAAACATATAAATAATAAAAACAAAGATGATACTTGTAGGGGTGGGCGGGTTTGGACTGCGTGAAAGAGCCTTTGAATGGCATTTAACTTTTAAATACGCTAAAGCGTGCTTGCTTTAACAGAATACCCGTAGAACAGGTATTCCATAAATGCATCCAGTCAGACCGACACTCTTCATACACACTACATAAACACGTGTTCAGTTGGCGGAGTCAGCCGAGGATTGCCGATTGGATCAAGCCAGAAATTCCTGGCTTAAGATGGTGGTAGTCACCTGTCGTTTCATACGAATAAGACAGGTACTGCCAGTCAAATTATTTTGTTGAGTAAATCTCTGAGACTTAGACTGGTTTGTCAAGTAATTTATTTATACTCACTGTGCTGACGCCCTTGTGTTGAATGGAACGTGTTCGAGTTTGAAAGTGATGCGTGTTAAGGTAAGAATGTTGTACATTTTGTGTTTTATTAAACTTGAGTTGTATTAAATATTATATCTTTTTATCGTTTATATAATATATACCAGTTTATTGTTTATTTCAGTGTAGAAACCACGCACGCAGTGTATAAATTTTTATGTATGAGTGACCGGGTGTGGCATCGCCAAATTTTGTAGGTACGTGTTCAGTTGAATTTAATTTCATATACTGATTCATTCCTTTATTTGTGTTTGTGTGCTCTATTGGTAATGTGTGCATATTTTTTGTTTGTTTGTAGCTCATTGCCAATTTGATAATTTAATTTAAAATAAGGAACATATAAAGAACTTGTATTGAGTCGTTACAAATGGCGTCGTGGACATACAATTAGAATGAAAATCTGTTGGCGATGAATTACTTCTAGGCCCACTCGATGAATTCCTGATGTCACGAGTTCAACTACCAATTAACGAGTGCATTCACCAAAGACTTTGAGTTTGGTTTATGATCAACGGCAACGCAACGGATATCTGAGTGTTCCAAACAACGCCCATTAAGGTGACAAAAGAACTTCACCTGTTTATAACTGTGCATTTGTCATTATATCTGTGCATTAGTGTATTAATCCTATGTTTCAAAAATGTCTACTAAAAGGGAAATCACAGAACTTCTTGAACATGAAAAAGAAAAAAATGAGAACAGTTAGAGAGTGAAATAGCGACACTTCACCACAGGATGAAGAAAACTGAGAGTGCTATGAGTTTGAAAGATATAGAAATGAAATATAGATTGAACCAAAAAAAATAAAACTGTCTATGTTGCGAGGGAGAAAAGATTGGAAGGTTGTGTGGTAGACCTGTGAAAGAGTGTGACCGCGATGTAGCAGAATTGTTAGATGATGCTAGGCAACATTTAAAAGTTATTGATGATGAAGATGCAAAGATATATTTTTTGAAGGACAATTTAGGTGGTCAGGTAAAAGATGAAATAAGATTAAGACCTAGAATGGAGAGAAATACATCTGACAAAATTCTAGATATCATTTATGATGTTTTTGCAAGTACAGAAACTTTGGGCGCGTTGCAACATTAATTCTATCAAAGAGATCAGAAACATAGCGAGTCGTTGCAAAATTACTCTTAGTATTTATGAAATTACTCGACATGATCGTGGCAAATGATTACAATGCTGTAAGCGATTTCGATGGGATGTTAAAGAGGGGTTTGTTGAAGGCATTCGTGATTCATCAAGAGTGATAAGACGTTTTTCGTTCGAACAGAAATCTATGCCTTTTGGTGAATTTAGACAAACAGTGTGACGATGGTCTGAAGATTACAAGAGTGAAGCACTAGGTAAGTCATGCTCAGTACATGAAACTAGCATTCAAGAGAGTATGAAAACAAAGGTTACAAAATCACATGATGATTGTCAGTTATCAGAAATTCTTGATATTCTTAAGTTGCAACAAAAGCAAATAGATGAAAATCAAAAAGAGTTAAAGAAATTATCAGAAGAGGTTATGAGAAAAGTAAATCCACAGTTTGAAACCAAACCTTTGCAAGGAAGACAATTTCCTAAAGCCAGACAATCCCACTTAACATGTTTCCGTTGTGGCGGAAATGCACACAAAGTACAAGACTGTAGTACTCAGTTAGAAAACAACAATCCTCCACGTAAAGCTAAGTCACAAGGGTCATCTGTCTCTAATTTTCTTTTAAACGCAAAGCGTGTCCAGCAGACGAAAGTGAGAGGATAAAAGACTCATTTGATCAGATGATCATAGACAGAGCTATAGGGCAATGTCCTGTCGTAACAATACAAATTGAAGGTAAGCCAATTTCGTGTCTGATTGACACTGGTTCACAAATATCTACTATCACTGAAACTTACTTTCGAGATCTGTTAAAAGCTGAACAGATCTGGAAAGTCAAATAAAAACGCAGTTAGTCTTAGCAGAAGGTATTTAGAGAGTAATTATGAGGAAATTTTAGCAGAATTATCACAAAGTATTTCCTTGAGAGAGTTTATTACAAGTGTCAGACAATTACAACGGAAAAAGAACTTACTCCTATGTTTCCAGGATACACCTCAGACGATTTGCGGAAACTGCAGGTGGAAGATCCAAAGATCAGTAGAGTACTTCACTGGATGGAGATTGGCCACAAGCCAACATCACGTCAAATTTCAAAAGAGAACGGAGAGGTGAGAAATTATCTAAGGAAGTATCATTTCTTACAGTTCAAGAATGGTGTCTTGTATATGAACAGTAGGGGATGAGATGGGGAATGTTTGCAGTTAGTTTTACCGGAATGTCTGAGACCACAAGTAATGGAATCTCTGCATGATTGTTCTGGACACCAGGGTCGCGAGAGAACATTTGCACTTGTGAGGAAAAGATGCTACTGGCCAGGAATGCAGGCAGACGTGATCAAATGGATCGACAGATGTGAACGATGCAAGATTATTAAGGCACCTGTTCCAACTATTCGACCATCAATAGGTAACTTGATAGCTAAACAACCATTAGACATACTGGCAATGGATTTTACATGATTAGAAAAATCTTCAGATGGTTTCTTGTTTTGATGGACGTCTTTACGAAATTTACCATGGCAATTCCTACAAAGATTCAAAAAGCATCTACAGTAGCTAAACAGTTAGTCTACAATTGGTTCTATAAAATTGGCATTCCGAGTCGTTTGCACAGTGACCAAGGTAGGAATTTTGAAGGTGAGATGGTTATAGAGTTATGCAAGTTGTAAGGTATCAAAAAGTCACGCAGCACACCCTATCATCCTGACGGTAACTCGCAATGCGAGAGATTCAACAGAACGATGCATGATAGATTAGGAACGCTTGATGCGCAGAGAAAAAGAAAATGGACGGCGTTTTTGCCAGAACTTGTTTATGTATATAAGGTTACACCTCATTCTGTTAAAGGGTTGACTCCTTATTTCCTCATTTATGGAAGAGAACCAAAATTACCTGTAGATTTCTTGTTAGGTACCAACAAAGACGATGTAAGTTACCAGGTAGACGATTGGTTGAAGTTCCACAAAGAGCATCTTAAGTACGCCTGGAGTGTTGCAGGTAAGAACACAGAGAAGAGCGCAGAAGAACGACGAGAGTTTCACGAAAGGAAATCCACTCCTTGTTCAATTGATGTAGGATCAAAGGTCCTGATCAAAAACCTTGTACAAGGTAGGAATAAGATACAAGATGTGTGGAAATCAGATCCTTACATTGTCGCAGGTAAGTTACAGGAAAATGTTTATGTAGTGAAGTCAGCAGATGGTAGTAATGAAACAAAAGTTCTACATAGAAACGAGCTCTTATATGAAAGAAAAGGACCTAAACAAGCAAAATAATATTTTTGAAAAGTCTGATTCTGATCAGGAGGTAGAGAGATAGATTATGGCTTTGAACGAATGACATTTTTTCGTATTTTTAGAAATTGTGTATATAGTTAGTTTTAGATACTTGTTGATGAGGGCATCAACAAAATTGTGCGGGGAGGAATGTAACGGTTAATTTTGCGCATATTAAAAGAACGCTAAACGCGCACCATACTTTATATACCGACAGTCTATTTATAGGGTTTCTGTCCTTGCGCCAGGTATTTAATTTTATTTAGAGATTATATTATTAAAAACTTTATAAAAATTCTATTTAAATATCAAATTAGTTGTATTCTATTTTTCATTAATTTACAGTGCAGTTATTTGAATTTATATTATTATTATTTTGTTGAGAAAATCTCTAAGATTTAAACTGGTTTGTCAAGTAATTTATTTATATTCACTGTGTTGACGCCCTTGTGTTGAATGGAACGTGTTCGAGTTTGAAAGTGATGCGTGTTAAGGTAAGAATGTTGTTCATTTTGTGTTTTATTAAACTTGAATTGTATTAAATATTATATATTTTTATCGTTTATATAATAAATACCGGTATATTGTTTATTTCAATGTAGAAACTACACACACAGTGTATAACTTTTCATGTATGAGTGACCGGGTGTGGCATTGCCATATTTTGGTGGTACGTGTTCAGATGAATTTAATTTCATATACTGATCCATTCCTTTATTTGTGTTTGTGTGCTCTATTGGTAATGTGTGTATATATTTTGTTTTTGTTTGTTTGTAGCTCATTGCCAATTTGATAATTTAATTTAAAATAAGGAACCTAAAAAGAAGTTGTATTGAGTCGTTACATTATATTCACATAACCAAGCGCATTACACAAAATATATTCGATGGCTCCTATAATCAATGTAAAAGGGCAGTGGACAAATAGCAGGGAACTTTGGTGCTTACTTGTGTGTAAACGTTTAATAATGATGAGTCCCCGACACCCAGGGAGACCAATATAAAGCTTTTTGATGAACAATCTTTTGAAAAAGGGGTAGGAGGTACAAACCGGATTAATTGCCTCACAAGTGAGATAGATTTGATAATAACGCTGTAGGGTCTCTCACGATTACAGGCTTTTTACAACACAGATAGTCGCCTGTATAATCTTTGCTGGGTGCCAGCTTCATGTTACGAATACAAGAGAATAAACATTACCTAAAGCTCAATTGTTGACTTACCATGACGACTGGAGTTATACTTCCTACTTTTAAATCTGACCTGATCAGTGCTATATTTCATATAAAATAATTTCACTTTAGGAACCCCTGCAATAAAAAAAAAAATATCACAATTTGTTTTTCCAGTTACTTCTCATAAAATGTCAAAAATGGTTTGGAAATATCTATGTCGTTGAGCATACCTTTACAAATGATCAACACTGCACCGACTCCAAATATAATGAACGCAGTTAGAGTGACAATCACCATTGTAAAATCAACATCATTCATGCGACTGAAAGAAAGAGAAAAATGCTTTTAAAACTTAAATTGGTTTAAAAAGTACATATTAACATTTAAATACCAAAGAATGTCTTTTTTATCATTTCACTGTACATGTACTTAGCCCCCCCCCCCCCCCTTTTTGTGAACAAAGTTATGGAATATTATTTGAAAAATCAACTATTGTTTTTAATTAAAAGAAAGACAGCGTTGACGACCATTTTCAAATCGTTTGTAATTCTACGCTTTCCTGTGTCCATTCTTGTGTCCATTATTTAAACGAAAATATAATTGTAAGGACAAAACAAACCTTGTATTTTTATTGGTAGTTGTGTTTGTCTTATTCGATTGAATAAAATAAACAGTGGTTGTTGCTATTTCACATTTGTTTTTGAGGTGGCGTTTACGACGACCTGTGGCAGACCTGCATTTTTTTCTTATAGGTGCTATAGATGAAGAATTTGAGGATTTAGATGTTACCTCAACAGTTGGTTGGATAGTGCTCTCAGGAACAGCTATAGACTTAATTGATTGAAAACAAGATGGATCTGCAAAACGAAAAATGTATTCCTTAAAACAGTTGGAAAAAAGTAAAGCGTAAAAGGCTGTGAACATTGAAAATTATTTTTTTTCAAAGATATATATAAGACCTCCCGGATAAATATGTTTGTTGTTTTCTATATTTTATGTATCTTAATTAAAACATTATACCCCAAATTAGTTAGTGTATTCAAATATTATAACAAACAAACAATGAATATTCATGAATATTCATATTTACATTTAATAATACGGAAATATTTTAATTTTTGTTTATTTTTTTTTCAAAATGAAAACAACATGTGTTTGTTAAACACTATACACCCATCAGCAATACAATTTAATATTTAAAACGCTATTTTCAGCATATATTTCAAAGTCAAGGTCACTGACCTTGAAGTCATTTGAAAGAACTTGATTTGTAAATTATTGATATCAAATATAAAGTCTCTATCTCTTATGGTTCAAAAGTTATGGCTAAAGTACGAAAAAAACTATTTTTAGCATACAGGTAACATTCAAGGCTACAAGGCCATTTACCTTGGTGTTATTTGAAAGAGATTTTTTGGTGAGGTATGCATGCAAAACATGAAGTCTCTATCATTCAAGGTTCAAATGATAAAGCGAAGGTTAAAGTTTTCAGATAAAAAGCTATTTTAGAATATAGATCACAGTCAAGGTTGCAAGGTCGATGACCTTGGTGTCATTTGAAAGAACTTAATTGGCGGAGTAGCCATAGCAACTATAAAGTCTCTATCTGTCATTGTTCAAAAGTTATGGTGATGGTGCAAGTTTGCAGACAAACAGACAAACAAAAAGACATACAGACAAGACAATTAAACCAATATACGCTCCGGATCTATCAATCCAGGTGCATAAATAACACCACTGATAATGCATTTGGAGTACTTACACGTTATCGATTCATTTGAATAGTAATGAAAAGGACATTCTGAACAGGCAACACTGTAATCCTCTACAATACGACCTAATCCCCCGTTGAACTGAACGCAGCATTTTCCTACAACAGATCATTTCAATGTTAATTGAGACTCCTTAACATGCCAAAATATTTTAGTTCTTCCGAATTGTTTTGGTGAAATTCAGTTTTATTTGATTATTACATTAGGAATAAGGGGAAAGCAAAAATAATATTAATTAATAGATATGCAGAAAAACATGAATGTTTTGAATGGATAAAATCATATCCTTTTTTCTAATTTGGCAAAATGTAAGTGCAATCAAAATCACACCCTTGAATGTTTTTTCTAGAAAATTATTTTTTTGAAAGTTTCAGCCATTCGAAATTCGAATCTCTCATATTTTAATCGCAAATGTTACACATTATTGCACTGGCGTCACAGGTGTATTGTTAAGCACGGTCAAGCAAAATATATATTTCATTTCCAAAACAAATAATTTATGGTGTCTCCTATCAATCCCGTTAGAATTTTAAAAATTGATAATTGATAATTGACAGGATATTTGTTATAATTTCTGCTGTTTGGATGTACAAATCAGCAAAGGAATTAAACAAAAAATGTTCTTGACTGGAGTTGCAAGGGCTTTGTCACTATTCAAAACAATCGTTTTGCCCGATCCTTTCTTCTGTACTAAATATATTCAAAGAATTAGTACCCTGGATTTTAAATTTTCAAAAGGGAAAAAAGAGACATTTTAATGTCGCACGCACATCATCTAGTAGGGATGTTGTGAATCTTGGAAAAGTTTACAGCGCCGTCGAACGTCATGAAGAAATTATATTTCTAGTCAATAGTATTTATTGCTGGAGCAGATATATGTATATATATATATATGTATATATATATATATATATATATATATATATATATATATATATATATATATATATATATATATATATATATATATATATATATATATATATATATATATATATATATATATATATATGAATGTAAAATGAAAGCAAATAATGACGAAAGAACATCTAAAATGTCCATTTTTCATAAATCTTGAGGAAGGAAATTTTAGTCATTTGTCCTACATTCTTCTATTCAGTCGAAGTTCGTAGGTTTGACGGCTTCAAATTTGATCTCTTCTCTCCTTGTTGGCATATTTCTTGTTTTTTTTTCTCTCTTTAGCAGACCCTCACACATCAACGATTGACTCTACGAGTTCTTATTGAACATTGACACCTTTTGAGTGTTTTACTTTCGAAGACCCTCTTTATTAAGAATGTTTTTCGCTTAAATATGACCATTTTCAATATTTTTCAATCAAATGATTACTATATCTTCATGAATGTAGACGTGCTTCATTTTTAAGACATTTAAATGCATATGATAAAAACTCATAAAATACCCATTTATGACACTGTTTTCGTAAATGTATACCTGTGATAAAATTCCTTGGAGCACAGACTTCAATTAGTTTGTTTCCAAACCGCACACAGTGATATACTAAAGCGTCTTTGGAACAAGAATCATGCATATCTTCACACCTTCTTTCTCTTGATCTCATCCTTGTAGACTCTACATCTTCTGGGCAGAATTGAACTATTTTTCCTGTTTTAATCGTTTCGTTGCATACATCTTTCTGTATGCAAATAACATTAATTTGCTTTTAAAAAAAACATGGCATTGCAAAGTAAATACTTGAACGTAATTTTATCGCAACTGCAAAAAAAAAAAACATATTTAATTAACTTTATGTGTGTGTTTAACTATTTAACAATGGTTTTAGATCTTTGGGAACCCAACTGATATTATCAGTTTAAATTGTACAGACAGCGTTTTACAACTGTAGGATAGAAATATATATTGTGGACCTTCAGATATCCGGACCCCAGATATTCGGATGCTTCAGTATTCTGACGACTTTTCCTTGGAACGGAATTTGTATATGTAATTTTTCTCTTGTTTAACTGGTGATTCAGGTATCCATACTATTCACATAATCGGTCAAATTGACTGGGAATCAAAGCGCCCAGATAAATGAGGCTCCACTTAAGAACTAGTAAAGAAGCAGAATCCCCCCCCTAACAATTGGGAGGGCTGGCATCACCCACACAACTCCAATTCAGAAAAGTCTTTATATTAAAAAAATGATGAATTTCACTTTTTTTCAAATGAGCTTTGAGCACGACACATCCATTTCTCACGAATGGTCAAATGTAGTGAATTCAGTAAATCAATAAAAGCCCAAGGCTTCTAAGTTAATGTTCAGGAGAATCATTCACCTGCGTACTCAACAGTATCCAAAAGTCTAAATTACCATTTACAGGTATAGAAACTTCATATCACAGGTACCTTCCGAAAAACTGAGCCTCGTTTATTGGGTCTTATTCTAACCACCCTCAACATTCACTTCAAAATGCCGGGCGCTTGATAAAAGACAGTTGATACTTTTTTGTCAGTAGCAGCCAGGATTTTTTTAGCCCAGGACTTACAGATCAAGAGTTATCATTATCATTAAGACACGAGTTTATAAGTATGGTTTTTTCGCCGTAACTTTTTGACATTTAAATCAACTGTAGCTTCTCAGTATAACCAGGAGTCATCAAATTTCAATAAAAGGCAGTACGACAACAAACTTAATGATCAAAAATTGAATATATGACCTCAAAATCAATAAAGGTTTACTCTAGGTCAAAGGAGATTGTTACATTAAATTTTATAACAAAAGCGCAAAGTAGTTTTATATCATCTGGAAATGTTGGTAGAAATACAAAGAAAGAATCACAACTGGTCAGTTAGGCAGACAGACAAAATGTGTACTTCCTCCGAAAGCGGGAGGACAGTGCATAAAAAATACCCAAACAAAATAGGGACCAGGGAGATGTCTTCCCATCTTACATGTATATCCAAATCTCAATTGAAATTTTCAAGGGGGTCCTATCACCCTAGGTGGTGAATGATCACATTCTGTTTATATTTTGCTGTTTCAATTGAATTACTCTTCATAAGTGATAAGAAATTTACAGAAGCTCTAATTATCGAATAATATACCCGTGTAAATCGCTTCTCTATCCTTAAATTTCTTGATTCCACATGGCATATCTGTACAATTAATAAAAGGAGAAAAGTTGAGGTTGCGACGTAGTTACACCAGCCTGACATCATCACTCTGATTGAGATGTTTCTAGCGTCTCTTGGAACTCCTGGGCGCGCCGTCGTCAGAGGTCTGCCAAACTATGAAATCTGAAATTAAAAGAAAAAATAAATAAATAAAAACCAATAAAGAAAATATCTGTGTTTTTTTTTAATGTCTGATTTTATTTTTTTTATCCTCTCCTCGATCTGTATAGTTTTTGAATCGTATACGAGGGTTGTCCGGTAAAATCTTGGACAAAGAAAGAAAAACACATAATAATGGTATTCTACGTCTCAAGGCGGTGGTTATCCTTGACTGGGGTCTTCATTAAAGGTCCCCATACCACGCCCATCGGGAGGGGACTTGGAATTTAAAAATATGTAAGCAGCTAAAAAATATAGACAATATTGATTATATATGCAGTTCTAAGTTTTACAGTAAAAATAAGTTTCATGTAAAAAATCTGAACTTGTATGAACAATTATATTTATAACTAGTAAACTTATTGTTCAAAGAACAATGAGACGTCTTTCCACCTTTTTAAGTGTTTCCGTGTCCTTAGGGTTGGAAAAAAGACAAGAAAAATACAAAAAAAAAATTATTTCCAAATCAAATGGGCCCCTAGCCGATTCGAACTCGGGATCTTCAGAGTGACTGGCGATATCAAAGCACATGGATTTAAACAAAAATAGACACACGTGCGTTTTTAAATAGTACAGAAACACGTGTATTTATTTAATTTGTTTGTGATGGAACATAGAGAGGAATAATTAATAGTTCTGAGAAAAACGATTGGTGGATAATGAAAATGCTGATTTCCTATAAAAAAATCATTTGAGTTTGTTTATAGTTTGAATAGATAGAGTTAATCATACAGAGCTTATGATACATTCGAACATCCGTGTCGGCACTGTGTTTATTATTTGTGAAAATATAGGCGCGTTCGTTTTGACAGATATGGCGAACTCATAGGTTAGATTAAATAATCATCTCTATTTGCATTGAATTAATAGTTATGAGCATAAATTAAACTTGAAACATGAATTTCATGAAGAAAACGGTGTCACGGAGAGCGTGGAAATTTATTTTAGATGAAAAATCGCTATTTCCGAGATTCAGTGGATTAATATTTAAATCTAAATAAAATTGAAATAAATTCCATACACTTAAGAAAGCAAAAAATACTTGGTATTAAAATATCGTTATAGAGCAGGAGAATCAAATGCTGTTAACAAAAACTGAAGAAATAGCCAAAGCAGGCTTTAAATAATTTTTATGCTCATCAGCACTTTAATTTCAGACAGAAAAAAATGTAGTTTTCGCCGATATTGAATAGAATTTTATTATACTTAAGAGACTCACCGTAAAACTCTCAGGACACTTTCTTTGAGGTGTCTTCTACATTTTAATCTGAATTTCTTGTCGATCTGTGATCTCCTTTAAGCTATACAAAATTTGTTTACGTCGCTATTGATTTTTTTTTTTGAAGAAGGAGGGAGGGGGGTATAAGAATTTGTTTAAGAAAGAGAGTTGTAAATACCTCCCAGACAATTAGCTTGATTGTGACCTTTGGGTCATTGGGGTCAAAGGTCAAGGTCATTTAACAAGGACAAAGGTCAAGGGCATCAAAAAAAGGAGAGAGAGAGAGAGAGAGAGAGAGAGAGAGAGAGAGAGAGAGAGAGAGGTAAACTTGAGATTAACACTTGAAGCTGAATCTAGATAAAGGTAATGAATATTTCTTTATAACCTTTTGAGTAAGGGTCAAGGTCAAAGGTCAAGGTCAATGTCAAATATCAAGGTCATTTGGATTTTAAGCTTAAATTGACAATTTTTCTAGTTTTCCAATGACCTTGACCTTTGACCTTGACCTTCTTTTCAAGGTCAAAGGTCATAAAATCTCATGCACTTGGTCCTATAACTTCATCACTTGTCATTTAGAAGTTTTTTATTTGTTTTGTAAACTTTAAAACTTTCAGGAGCAATAACTCATAGAAGTAGTCACCAAATACTTTTGCCATCAATAGATTCCAGACTCCTCTCAATTAGTGGAAGACATTGGTGAAGGTCTCATACTTCTACGGTTTACGGTTTCAAAGGAGTAGCGATAACAAGCATTTCTTGCGAAAGGGGCAATAACTTTGAAAGGGGTCATAGTTCATATACGCAGGGTTTTTTGCCATAATCTCTTGAAAAGTACATTCTTATAAACTATAAATCTTTTCAAAAGGCCTTCAAACAAAAAATCGTCCGGCGGAAAAATAAAAAAATAACTAGGAGACTTATTGTTCACAGAACAATAAGAGGTCTTTCCACCTTTTTAAATTTCTTATAGTTTTATATTTTACTCTCTAATTTAATTTTAAGGAAAATGGCTTAAAAAAAAGAAAATGAAAATTAAAAAAAAAAAATTGAAATGACCTTGACCTTTGACCTTTATTAGATCTTCAAGGTCACAGGTCAAGGGTCACATTGCAATTGACCCCATGCCTCCGTGATTTTTAGTTCTATAGTTATAAGTTTAAATATTAAGTGCAAAGAAGTTAAAGGGCAATAACTCATATAAGGGGTCATTAAATCCTTTAGTACTTATACAATGAAGGTGTGCCTAGAGACCTTTAAGACATTAGTGAAGATTTCATGCCTCTACAGTCTACAGTTATGAAGTAGTAGCGATAAAAATGTTTTTCGCATAAGGGGCAATAACTTTTGATAGTGTCAATCTTGGGGAACAAATAGTTTTAAGAGTACATATTAATGATGCAAAGATTGTTTGCATATGTTAAAAGACAAAAAAGATATAAAAAGGGCTTAATTTCTAATTTTTGGAATGACCTTGACCTTTGACCTTGACAAAATATTCAAGGTCAAGGGTCACAATGCAATTGACACCATGCTTCTACCATTTATGGTTTTCAGGATACATGTACAAGGTTTAATAGTAAGTATAAAGAAGTTAAAGGGCAATAACTCATATAAGGTGTCATCAGATTCTTTTGCACTTATACAGTGAAGTTAGGTCTAAAGACCCTTAAGACATTAGTAAAGGTTTGGTGTCTCTTGGGTGTACAGTTTTGGGGGATTAGTGATAACAAGGCTTTTTGCACAAGGGGCAATAACTTTCAAAAGGTTAAATCTTAGGGGACAAGAACGATGTCTTTGAAACAATTTTAAGAGTTCATGTTAATGATGCATAAACATTAAGTATATGGTGAAAGACAAAAGAGATACGAAAAGAACTAATTTTCTCATTTTTGGAATGACTTTGACCTTTGACCTTTACATGAATTTTAATGTCAAAGGTCAATGAATCTTATGCAGTTGGTCCCATGTCTCTACAACTTCTCGTTTTGAAAATTTTTAATTATATGTAAAATTCAAAAAGTTTCAGGGGCAATAACTCATTGAAAGGGTCACCGAATACTTTCGCAATGAATAGATTGAAGAGTCCCCTTAATTAGTCAAAGACATTCGTAAAGGTTTCATACCTCTACGGTTTACGGTTTCAGAGGAGTAATGATAACAAGGGTTTTTTAGCACAAGGGGCAACAACTTTTAAAAGTGTCAATCTTAGGGTCCAAGATTTTTATCTTCTAAAGAGTTTCAAAAGTACATATTAAAGACATAAGATAGATCGTTTATGTTTAAGGACATACATGTAAGAGCTATTAAGAGAAATTTATTTCTCATATTTGGAATGACCTTGACCTTTGACCTTGAAATGAATTTAAAGACCAAAGGTCATTGAATGTTATGCAGTTGGTTTCATGTCTCTACGTCTTTTCGTTTTGAAAATTTTTAATTTTTTGTAAAATTTATAAACTTTTAGGGGCAATTACTCATTGAAGGGGTCAAAGAAAAAGTACGCAATGAATAGATTGAAAAGTCTCCTAAATTAGTTCAAGACAATGGTGAAAGTTTTGTATCTATACGGTTTACGGTTTCTGAGGAGTAGCGATAACAAGCTTAATGTTGAAAGGGACAATAACTGCGTAAGGGGTCGAAGTTGAAATATACGGGGTCGTTTTTCGGAATAACTTTATAATATCCAGTATCATGAACTAAAAAGTTTTTCGATAAGTCTTACGGTCTCAAAAGCTAAGGGGAGAAATAAAATAAAAAGAAACAGAAGCATTTTAAGAGGTCTCTCCACAGAAAGGTGGAAAGACCTAATAATTCAATAGGTCTTTCCACAGAAATGTGGAAAGACCTAAAAAGTTCAAGTATCGTTCGTACATCAACCATGCATGAAGTTTTGACAAATGTGAATTTTAATAAAACTTTTTTGACAGGGATACATGGTAATAATAATTATGTTTTAATATTATTTTTATAATTTACTCCAAGCTCTCTGATTGGCTCATTCTTGATTACATGATTAAGTATATTACAGCATAAAGACTTGAGTATCTATTTATAGAATACGAAATGCATATCGACTTAATAATGATTCTTAAAATGGAGGTACTTTTCTGTAAAACAAACTTTATTGAATTCACAAATACAGCTGTATAACTAATACATAGTAAGACAATATTTCTGAAAAAATCCTACAACTTGCTTTAATACTTGTTTCCCTATAATTGATGAGATGTAACAATGCCTTGTAGCCTTAAATTAGGATCTACTTTACATTAAAACATATTTCAATTGGATATGTATGTCAAATATTGATACAAAACATAATGAAAAAAATAAGCTGTATTTGAATGTGCAATTCCTCTGAACTACTCCATCAATATAAAGGATACAAATTTTGTTTTGTCAATCTATGTATAAAATAATATAACAAATGTAACCCTTTAATTCGGTCAATTCATAGATATATCGACTTTGTGCTCGGTCGATATGCCTTTCTGTGAAGTCGATATATCTATGGATCGACCTCATCAAAGGGTTATTTTCATTAATTATAAACATCTTCACCCCCCCCCCCAAAAAAAAAAAAAAAAAAAAAAAAAAAAAAAACAAAAACAAAAAAAACAAAAACAAAAAAAACACAAAAAAAAACATACATTCCCCCCTAAACATTATTACAGACATCATATTTTCCTGAGAAAATTGGCTCTGGGGAATACACACTCTTGAAATACCATGCACAGAGT